TCTTGGCAGTGCAGAGAACGGGTTGGGGGCTCCTCCAGGACAGGACTGGTCTTATCCCTACTTCTATCCCTAGTTCTAAGATAGTGCCTAACATACATTTGAAAGAGTGAGTGAATAAATGAATAGCAGAAGTGGGTCACAGCCCCTCTTCAAATGGATGGATCATTTTGCAGTTGAGCCTTTCCAGGTTGAGGAACACCTGTCTCTATCTCTAAGAAACAATCCATATCCAACAATATGAATAATGTTTACAGTGAATCATCAACTTCAGCTTTAAAAATACCAGAGATGATGTAGTGATGATCATGGTAATGACATAGTTCAAAGATTACAAATGGACAACTCTGTATTGCATTTGCTCTGTTTACAAAAATACCGCTCGCTTTGTCTTTCTCTGTCTGGAGAGAGTGAGGTTTTCATTTTAAGAGGCTGACTAAAAAATGCAGAGCCACTTCCTGGGCGGGCTTCCAAGTGACTACATCTTTCTCACAGCAGCTCCCCAGAGCCCCAGCCCCAGCTGTCTGGGGCGGGGCCTCCAGCCATTGGTGGCTGTTGGAGCTACCACAGGAGCAGTTATCTGCAGCCCGCCAGAAATGCTGTGCTTTTAGGCCCTCCCAGGGAGCAAATAACATCTTTGGCCTTTGCACTGAAGAGACATCAGAGTTTGTGATTGGCCACACTGGTGTGTGTGAAATACAGGAGATGTCTGCCACAGTGCTGAGTATGCCATTTCTTCCAGCTGAGTGCCCTAGGGTATGGGTAAGTCTTAATGCTTGAAGGCTGCTCTTGTTGGTTGTGAAATGTTCAAAGCTGAGCATTGTGACTTTCCAAGGACATGACTTGGCATATTTCTTAATTCTGCTGAGCCTCAGTTTCCTTTTCTGTGAAATGGAGATGGCATTGGATCCTATACTGTAGAAGGGTAGAATGCCTATAGAAGGATCTAGCCATCACAGGGTGTTGTGAGGCCTAAAAGATCACATATCCAGAGTACCTCATATGGTACCTGGTGTATAGTAGACACTAAAGAGCTCTTATTATTTCTGAAGCATCAGTCAAAAAAAGGTTTCAGCGACATTGTCCTTGTTTTCATTTCTAACAGTACAATACTTCTCTGAAAGACTCAGTGGATATATTCTACTTCTGAATCATACCTGTGTAGCCAACAGAAATAAAACTTCAGGGGAAGTTAGTGCCAAAGGAAAGTTTGTCAGACTATATTCCCTTTCTCTTTTTCCCTTCTAGACCCTGACTGCACCTGCCCCATTTGCAGATGAAACCAGCTGCCAGTGCCAAGCACCCCATGAAAAACTGACCATTGCTCAGGCTCGCTTAGGAACACCAGGTGAGGCTGTACTTCTTGTTCTCCGAATGGGCCCTGCCTTGACATCCAAAGTAGCAGAGAGGCCCAACATTATTCGAGCAGCACTCACTTTCAATCGGAGAGTTGAATTTAGAGCTATAGCACAGCACAAGAAGGATAAGTCTAACAGTAATAAACTCAGCAAACGAAAGTAGCCGTGTAAAAGGTGCAACGGGGGGACTGGAGTTGGAGCCCCAACTCTGCCATTTTTATAGCCTTCCAAGAACAATCTGAATCTGTTTCCTCATGTGTAAACAGGGACGATGATAACCTGCTTCACAAGGTTTTTGTGACAACTAGGCTCGGTTAAAAATATCAAAGCCTTTTTTAAACCATGAAGGCTTATACAAACCTAAGCTACTATAATTATTATCACTTTTAAAAGTCTGTGTTTTAAAAAAATTTCTCCAAGTGCGCCTTAAATTAAAGCTTTTTACAGCATCTCATCAATGATATAACAAAACAATGTTGAACAAAACGTTGGACTCTGCTCTAGCCGTTTGTTCATTTGTCCACTCCTTTTGTGTATACCAGGCTGGATAGGGAAGAGATTTAAAACGAACTATATATAAGGTACCATCTCTGTTTCCCAGGAGCTTCTCTATAATTGAAGAGACAAGACAACTAGATATAAAATAAAACCCACTAGCAGCATGCATGCATATGCTTACGGGTTAAATTCTGCAACATAGACAATAACTGACAGTTTTAAGAAGGGCAGAGTCATTTGGCCTGGAGCAGCCAGACAACAGCTGGTAATAGACCTTAGCTGATCCTTTTGGGAGAAGTAAGATTTGGACTATGTGGGCAGAAAATGGAACAGTATTCCGAGCAAGTGGAACAGGAATAGCGAAGGCACGGAAATAGACAGCTGTGTAGCAGTAAATGAATGGCATTCCAGTTCGTTGGGATGGAGTGGAAAATAAGACTGGTTAGCAGATAAACTTTGAGCCATTTAAGATGGCTCAAAAACAAACATCCCAAATTCAATAGAATCCATTATCAGTTTTCTTAATGATAATAACGATGGATATTTATTAAGTGTTTACTATCAGTAAGTTCTTTATATGTACCATGTCATTTCACTGTCACAACTCTATGCGCTTGATACTTTTAGTATTTCACAGATGAGAAAATAAAAGCTTTAGAGAAGCTGAATGTGCGCAGGGTTATTCAGCTAGTAAGCTGCAGTGGTTCTCACATTTGAGCCTGCATAAGAATCACCTGGAGGGCTATTGTTAAAACACAGATGGCTGGGCCTCACCCGCTGAGTTTCTGATTCAGTCCAACTGGGGTGGGACCTAAGAATTTCCCTCTCTAACAAGTTCCCAAGTGATGCTTCTGCTGGGGGAGGAGGCAAGAGAACTAAAATGTTAAATCAGGCTACATTCAGAGACTGCAATATGCTGATCGGCCCTGCAGCCGGGCCACAGGACACCTGCAGAACAAAGGAAGATTTCTGCTGGGATTTCTAACAACCCATTTCCCCACATTGTGAAGGGAAAACAGGAAAACAGAGTCTTAAGTTGCTCTCTACACAAAATAAAATCGTTCATTCCCTCTGTCTAAAACCATGGGGAACCTGTGGATCAAAGGCTGGGAACTGCCAGCAGGCCTTTCACGCTACATATTCTTACCTTTTCACGCTGCATGCCCTTATCCTTTCTCACTGTATGGCCATTCTATCAAAGGAAAATGGGTAAACAAAATCTTTACACTGTATAGCAGAAACTAAGAATGACATATAAACTGGATTCCCCGAACACTCAGGGTCCCTCTCAGTGTCTTTACTCTGTCCCTCGCCATCACTGTCTCTGTGCCTTTCTCTGTCTGTGTCTCTGAGTCTCTTTTAGGCTCTTTCGCTCCCTGCCTCTGAGAGACCACGCTGTGTCTATGGAGTGTTACCCCTTCTCACTAAACTTTCCTTTTGACTCTAACTTTGGCGTCTTTGAATTCTTTCTTGTGCTCAAAGAATCCTCTCTCTCAGTGCAGGCCGACCGGGGGAAATTCGCCCTGTCCTGTATCACTTGGAGAGCCATTCCTAAGTGGTGAAGCTGGGATTTCGTTTCAAACCTATTTGTGTTCAACTTTGTTCTGTAATCACAATACTCTGCCTCCTCTTTAAGATACAGCAGGTTCTCGACTAATGTTGTTTTTTTAATGTTGTTTTGTGATATCGTTGATGAGATGCTGTAGGAACCTAACTCTTGTTTATGTCAATTAGCCTATGGTAAAATTGATTTCATTATACATCGCTTCACTTAAAGTTGCAGAACCTATTGACGATGTTAAGTGAGGACTTTAGGTTGGAGAGAAGTTCGGAAAGCGGGACAAGTTAGTAAGCTTTTTTTGTGGCTTCCTTTGAGAAAGCAAGAAGTGGCTTGGGGCAGCTAAAGTTCGGAGCAGCTAAACCAATTGTTCCCAGATTTCGGTGTGCAAAGAATCAAGTTTGTTAAAGAAGCAGGTTTCCTGCTCTCTGTCCCCCTACCGCTAAATCTGGGATGAGGCCCAGGTATCTGTATTTTTAATGAACAGCCCAGATAAATCCAAAAGATGAAATGAAAGTCCAGGTAGTTATGAAGTGAACGAATTTGCCCTAAAGTTAAAGGACGAGCCACAGGCCCAAGAGAAAAGGACCCTGCTTTTCTAATGAAAGGAGAGGGAAGTCAAACTTACTCTACATCTGCCAGGTGCTCTGCCCTGTATTCTGTCTCATTTAGTCTTTGCAAAAACTGCGTGTGATGGGTATCATCTTGTCCTTTCTACAGATGAGGCAAATGAGACTCGGAGAACTGAAAAGTTACTTGTCAAATGTCCTAGCTGACTGGGTAGAGCTAGGATTCAACCCCAAGTCCCTTTCACCTCAAACCCCCACTTTGTCCATCACAATGGGCTGCCTGCCCTGTGGAGCACCGGTCACAGCAGACTACGGAGCTCATTGAAAACATACTCAGGCTCTGAACTGGAGGGTGGAAGGTATGTTAACAAGACAAACAGTAGCACTGATCTTCTGCAGTAGCCGGGCTGTCTGTCATGCTCACTTCTGTATCACCAGCACTTAGAGGTATACTTGTTAAGTACTGTGTGCTCAGTAAATATTTCGTGACTGAATGAATGAATGGAAGTTTAGGACAAGAGAGGGAGCTTGTCCTGTGGAAGTAGAATCAGAGAGAGTTGGTCTGATGCTTTGAGCCAGCATCAAACTAATTGGGTGAGATTTGGCACCTGCGTATTGTCTAACTACCAGGCAATTTAAACCCCAAGAATCAAGCTAGAATATGATGGTGGTGTATTTTCAAATAGCTGTGTCACTACAAGAGGAGGGAGATGGAGCAAAGGCGAACTCAATCTTAGAAGGGACATTCTCCTCCCTCCCCTTTTTTTTGGAATCTCAGGCGATGACCCTGGGAAGTTATCCAAGAGAATTTGTGATGTTGATGGCACCTGGCCCAGGAAACTTCTGTTAGAAATTCCTTTATTTAGAACTTCTAATATCAGCGTTAAAATGCGACAGGAACTTAGTTCTTTGATTACCTAGAAGGCAAATATTAGTCTTAGACCTGGCTCTGACAGCCATTGTTTTATTAGAGCAGTGGTCCTCAGACTTCAGTGTATTAAGAATTTTCTGGAGGGCTTGTGAAAGCGGACTGCTTGGCTCCACCTTCGGAGTTTCTGATTCAGTAGGTCTGGGGCAGGGCTGGAGAATCTGCATTTCTAACAGGTCCCTGCTGATGCTGATGTCACCTGTCCTGGGACCACACAGCAAGAACCACTGCTTAAGAGTAACTAGATCCAAATATCATGCTAAGTGAAATAAGTCAGATGGAAAAGTAGAGAACAATATAATTTCACTCATATGTGGGATATAAAACTGAAAGCAACAAGCAAACAAAAGACAGACAAACAAACAAAAACTCATAGACACAGACGACAGTTTAGTGGTTACTAGAGGGAAAGGGAGGAGAGGAGGTAAATAAATAAGGGTGAAGAGGGTCAGATATAGTGATGGAAGGAGACTTAACTTTGGGGGTGAACACAGTGCGATATACAGATGATGTATTATTGAACTGTACACTCGAAATCTATATAATTTATTAACCAATGTCACCGCAATAAACTCAATAAAATTTTTAAAAAAGTAACCATGGGTAGTGGTTGGAGGGAGTACCAGGAAAATTATTCAAAATAATTGTTGGAGCATTGTACTGGTGCTAGAAAAGCTCAGAGCATTTTTAAAAATCTTGCTGTTTGACCACTTTTTAAGAAAACAAGAAAAACAACGTTACTTTTTTGAAGTGTTTGGTAATTTTCAAGAGTAGTAAGCAATTACTTTTTTGTTGTGCTGTCTTGAGCATTCCATCAAAAAGACAAAACAGACCCACACTTGGAGTTTATAATGTGCTTCAAGATTATAGTTATAACTGAAATCTTTTACTATCTTCTTTACTAGCCCTATTTTATGATTTAATACAGTTGCCTGCAATATGTTTTGCAATCTTAGGTCTGCCCAAACAGGGGCTGGCATATACATTCTAAAAGAGGTAATGACAAATTCTGTTCAACTCTTAGCTCCTGGACCTTGTCAGTGAGGTCACAATGATGATGAAACATCAAGAAAAACACTAGAGCGGTCAGAATGGCACCTTTGATCTCAGGTCAACTAGTCCAGCTGTGGAGCTATGAAGCTACAGGGTTTAGTATGTATTTCTGAGACAGAGAGAATCACTCCTCTGTCTTGAGGTAAAGGAAAAAAGTCCAACTGATTTTTTCAGAGGTCCCTTTCTGTTAAAGTTGACTTTTTTCCTTAAAGGTAAACTCAATTCTGATTTCCTGTGTTCCTTCTCAGAAAGGGGATTTGTATTATTCTGTTTTCACAATGTGTAGTTTCCCAAATTCATCTTTTTTTCCCCAAATTCATCTTTCAAGAGCTCCCTTAATTAATTTTGCCTTATTTATGTGCAGCCTCTACTATAATTTACTTAATTTTTCTTTAAATGTACTCTTTTTAACATAAATTTAATGTATTTAAAAAGTAAACATCAATCATCATTATTTATCAAAAATGGTATCTCTGGCTATAAGTAGAAGAAAATTATAAAGTTTATATAAAACTACTCTGTAAACGTTATAAAATACGTAACTATTAGATTTTAAAAGGTTAATTTCTGTGCCACCTTTTTTCCACATCAGTTGTACACGAAAACAATACTAGTTACCATAACTACTGGGCATTTAGTCATAGTTTGGTTGTGTGACATTGGGCAAGCAGCTTAACTTGGCTGACCTTCCATTCGCCCCTCTGAAGTGAGGATAGTAAGTCCATTCTCCCCTATCTACTTCACAGAGTTGATGCAAAGACTGAGTGAAATATATGGGCTTTGTAAATCATATGTACTTTTAAGGCATTGTTTCAATGTAGGTTGTTAATAGCCATAATAAAAAAAAATGAGTAATTAAAATAAATGAATGATCATCCCTTTGTTGTTGCCTGAATCTGAAGCTATACTAAGAAATGCCATAACACACCCCACAAAAATGTGAATTCAGATATAATGCAGTTGGTGATTTCTTCCTTTCTGGCCAGATGGTAGGTGTGTGTTTACAACTTTTTAAACAACTGCCAAACAGCTTTCCAAAGCAATCGGACTATTTTAGATTTCTACCAGCAATGTATGAGAGTTCCAGGTGCCCACCAACACTTGGTATAGTCAATATTTAAAAAAAAAATTTTAGCCATTCTAGGGGTATGAAATGGTATATCATTCTAACTTTACTTTGCATCTCCCTAATGACTAGCGATATTGAGCTTATTTGCTATCCATGTATTAATTTCTTTGGTGAAGTGACTGTTCAACTCTTTTGCCTTTTTAAAAATGTTATTTGTCTTATTATTGATGGGTTTGAGAATTCTTTATATATTCTAAATGTAAGTCCTATATCAGATATATATTTTGCAGACATTTTCTCCCTATTACGACTTGCCTTTTCTTTTTTGAAAAAATGTCTTTCGAACAGCATAAGTTTTAAATAAGGTTCAATTTATCAATATTTTGGTGTTATAGTGTGTCCCTTTTGGGCCTTACTTAAGAAATTTTTGCCAAACCTAAAGTCACTAAGATTTTCTCCTGTTTTCTTCTAGAGATTTTATAGTTTTAGCTCTTACATTTAGGTCTATGATTCATTTCCAGTTATTTTTTGTATATGGTGTGAGATGTGAGGTCAGCATAGCCCCCTTCACTGTTTCACTTACTTCTAAGTACTGAGTAATTTATAAAAATTTGGAATGTAAGATTCAGGAACTTAAAACAATCAGATTTTGCCCCACAGTACTATACCATAATCATTATTTGTATCCATGCTCCTCAAGCAAATATTTAGCATCATTTTGGTGTTATGTGTAGTTTGTTATATTTAAGTTATTTGAAGCATGGTAATCAATGTGTGGTATACAGACATACATTTTACCAGAACATCACATTTATCTGATATACTTACTCTGACCATTTAGGATAAATAGGAATTTACTTGAAATACTTTTAAATTTTTATAATAATCTGCAGGCAGAGTGTGTAATGCCATTGCATTCATTTTCTATGCTGCATAACATATCACCACAGACCTAGTGGTTTAAAACAATGTGCATCTATTATGTTGTGATTTCCATGAGTCAGGAGTCCGAGCCTGGCCTAGCTGAGGTCTCTGTTTGGAATCTCACAAGGCTGCATTCGAGGTGTCACCCAGGGCTCAGTTCTCACCTGGAGGTTTGACTAGTGATAGATCCACTTCTGAGCTCACTTAGGTTGTTGGCAGAATTTATTTCCTTGGAACTGCAAGACCAAGGATCTAGCTTCTTGCTGGTTATCAACCAGAGGCCACCCTCAGCTCCTAGAGGACACCTGCAGATCTTTGCAATGTGGCCCTCTACGTATCCCTTCTCACAACATGGCAGCTTGTTGCTTCTTCAAAGCCACCAAGGGAAAGTGAGTCAGCTAGCAATATGGAATCTTATATACTGTAATATAATCATGAGAATGACATCTATCATCTTTGCCAGATTCTACTCATTAGAGGCAAGTCATAGGTTCCACCCACACTTAAAGGGAGGGGATCGCACAAAGGCGTGAACACCAGTAGACAGGGATCACTGAGAGCCACCTTAAGGTCTCTCCGCCATGGACACGAAATAGTTGTGCTCTAACTTGTGACCATTGCCAAACCCCCAGCTTCACAGGCCAGTGCTTCCCAACTTAGATGCTCTAGAGAGTCCCCAAATGCTGAAAAAGGTATCTAGAAAATCCTCAAATAAAAGATGAAAACAAATAAACATGCAGAATAACTAAACAAGCCACACTATTTAAATTTTTTTATTATGGATAATTTCAAACATACACAAAAGTAAAACAATATAATGAACCTTCATGTGCTTGTCACCCGTAACTAACAGCCACCAGCCCATGGCCAGTCTTGTCCCATGCATGCCCTCATCTTACTCTTTCTTCTTGAATTATTTGGATGCTAGGGCTTCCTATTGTTTCATATGTTTATAACTTTTTAAAATAGCATAACCACTATACCATTATGTCACCTAAAAATTATCAGTAATTCTTTAATATCAACACATATTCAGTGTTCTAATTTCTAATTGTCTTATGTCATCATTTATTTATAGTTTGTTTGAACCCAAATCCAAATAATATCCATATATTAGAATATGTTGATATGTCTTTTAAATCTCTTTTAATCTGCAGGTTTCCCCTCCATCTCACTTTTGCATTTTTTCTTGAAGTTTATTTTTTGAAGACACAGAGTTCTTTTTTTTTTTTATTTTACAGAGTTTCCCAGTCTAGAAATTGCTGACACATTACAGTTTGTAAAAGTGAGCTTATTGCAAAATCAACTCCACAAATACTGTTCAAGATTTACTAAATGGCCTTTTTCTCGGTAATTATGTCATCTTTCTTACTTTTCTTTCCTCCCTGTTTCCTGAATCCATTTATCTTGATCACCTCCGAATCAATAACAAAAAGTTCTGAAAAACCACCATCTGTTTTCCCCTGGGGTTTATATCTTAAAACAAATTTTCTTCAATTGAATTCAAATTGAATAAGAGCATTGAAACCAAGGATCCCTCATTAGGCAGTTTGTTATTTCAAAGCATTTTCTATTTACTGTGCCTTATTTAGAATACAGGATAATCCTGTGAAGGCAATTCTGTTTGTTCAAAATGGTGTATAATTGGAAATAATTGCAATTCCCTATCTGACATAAAGTCTCTCGAGATTTTTTTATTAGAGAAATTTAATTGATTAGAAACATTTTACCATCTGAATCTATTACTGTAATATTTCTTTTAATTTATGTTCCAAATTAATAAGAAATAATCAGGAAATAATCACAATTTTAAATCTAAGTCTTAAAGATTATTCAACTGAAGTTTGAATTGATTTCCTTTTTAAATTTATTTTTATAACACCAGTATAGTACATGCATATAGTTTGAAAAGTCACTAAGACTCTTAGGC